TATTGTTCCCGCTTGTGGTTTCTTTATGAATAGTTTCCTCATGAGTCTCCCGTTGGAGTGTATGAGCTCAACATCCAAGAAGGGTAGTCGTTCATCCTCCTCCAACTCTATTATGAATTTCATTCTTCCATTAAGTTGGTTTAGAAAGTTGAGGAATTGATCCGTATTTTTCTTACCAGGCGACCAAAATGCAAAGTATTCATCCTGGTACTGCATAAGCACTCTTGGCCACAGAGGAAACTTTTCGAATTCCCTTTTTAATTTGTCCATGTATACATTTTCCAAAAGAGATGAAAGTGATAATACATCGATAATCCAAATATGTGGTCATAGATATTGCCGTTGAATGTAAAATACGTGATATTTACTGTCAGGTTGATTGGTCGTGTTAGCGACTCCTTATCCGCTCTGCTTCCAGGATATCCTCCTCTCGTTCCAATATCTCTAGCCGGGCGTTGACTGCATTCTCGCCTGAGATGTTTGTTTACATGAATTGTAAGTCAAAAGTTACAAACATTTCCGTCATGGTCCGTCTAATGTTTTGGATCTTTTGAGAAAATTCATATGAATTCTTCATGGTGTTCAAGAGTCTGTCATCTAATTTCTTGAGCTTTAAGCATATAAAGTTTGCTGGCTTGTGTGTTGCCCCATGCTTGTTGTTGACTATCAGCCATAGTGGGTTTCCTTCCTTGCGTATCTTCTGTAGTCCGTAAGCTGTCAGTGGTCTTGCGCCATTTTTTATCAACGAATTCATCATCCATCTGTCTCTATCTCACTCTCTCTCGGTTGTTATGCATTTCCGTTAACATATCCTTCAGTATTCTGTTGATCTTCATTGTTGGATCCTTTTTTTGGTATTTGATAAGTCTTCCGGTCGTTTAGGATACTTTACAATTTCTCCGTGTACTGTTGCCCGTCCATTATCACCGTAGCATCTCCATTATCCGCCTGGTCACTCATTTGTGATTGTTTAGGTATCTTCACCAATCCATTTCCTTTTAATGACTCGTGATGGGACAAGATTTTTGGGATCAACTCCATTTCCACCTCCAGTTTGATTTCTTCTGAGTATTTCTCTGAGATGTGCATAACAAGTATATTTTCTAAAATCTTCCCTCCGTTACCTAGTAAAAAAAGTAACCTCTTCTTCATGAGACCCACAGTCTCGAAACCAAGAGGGACTAAGGCTAAATTAAGTTTATTATCCCCATCGTCCTTGGGAGGAGTGTTTCCCATCAATACCGGAACATTATGATTTTGTAGGGTCAGTTGAATCCTGTGCTCTCTTATTATCCCATATCTAAGCACTTTCTTGTAATACCGGACCCTTTGTGACTTCTGGTCAGTCATATCCTGGAGTTTTTAAAAATCGTCCGTACCGATAAGCCTACTCAGATTCTTTCTAAATCTAGATTTAATATCTATGACCTTAAAGAGTTTACACCTCTCAGCCTCGTAACTTTTCTTTAATTTCTGAGTGGAGGCGTGATTAAGTATTTCAGTAACTGTGGCCGAATGACACTTACTCATTAGACTACAGAACCTGGGAGTGATACGATGGCAGCGATGGAGTGAAATCACTGAACTAGACAGATCCTGTATCAACACCCAAGCTTAGGGGGTTGTGAGGAAACTAAATCAGGTCAAAAGAGCTAAGTAAGAAATTGTGTTAGTAAAGTGGTAATACGAGGATATATGATAGGTGGATAACCTAGGACAAAAGGAACGATACAACAACTGTTTAGCAGACATTTGGTCAAAGTATCGATTTCACTTGTCTCTGACTGGTTGTGATGTGATGCTAAGGCTGGCAAGGCTCACTGACAATGCAGTTTACGATGTCCACCACACGTCTGGGAATGTACCAAGTCACGGCCCGACTCTGGAAATTATCATGCATACTATTGACCCTGGACAATGAGCATTCCTATTGCTCCTTCTGCCAATATAACCAAA